CCAATGTGGTTAGCAACGCCAATTCTCTATTTAGTAACGGCACAAGTGATTTTAGTAAAAATTATAATTTCAAATGGCAGGCGTTTTGAATATTCATTATTTTCCATTTAGCTGACTTCAGGCTTCGCAGAGGGAGAAAAATCTAAGTGGGAAAAATTTGATTTGGGGGAGGGGGGGAGAGCAGAAGAGTGATTCACAGATGTAGAGGAGACAGACAGTCACAAAGGTAGAGAAAAGGTGAGATGAGTACTGTGAAAGTTATGGAATATGACATACAGTTGGGTAATGGTAGTGGACTATGTGGAGTTAAGTCTATCACCCACCCCATTTTAGTAAGAATCACAATTGTTTTATGATATTAGCTTTCGTGATCTCTTCATACCAAAGTTCTGGTATAAGTTTTGAGTCATTTAAATTCGATGCCAATGATCCATTCGAAGTCCCGCTTTCAGCTTTTGTCAGGTTGTCCATTCGAAGGCTGGATTAGGAGGAAATGTGATAAAGTTATTTTTATAATATCCATTAAAAAAACCCATATCCACTAGATCAGAAGGTGACAAAGAAAGCTACAACTCTTTGTAGATTTCAATGGAAGGAATAAGTTCATGAGCACCTCATATAGAGAACGATGAGACAATATATTGGGTGTATGAATCCTAATTCGTATTCGTTCACTTCTCCACCTCTTCAACAAATTGTTTAAATCCTTTGTAGAAATTTGGAAGTCTAGACCGTGAATATTAAAGAAAGAACAAAAAAACGCACATTTTATAATTTTCACCTAAATGTGTATCTTTTCAGAAGATAAAACGGCTATTATCACGAGGTGTATACCACTTCAAAGTTATAATGCGCTGAGATATTTTAAATAGATAAACTTGAAATAAACGTGATTCAGGGAAAATTTCCCTATTAACAGCTGCAATTTTTCCATTACATCGGTAATAATATATCAGGCTGAATGACATGTCTTTCCACAAATGAAGTCCTGTTGGCAAAGATATATTTTTTTCTAGATAGATATTATTGTCGCGAAAATCTTGAAACACTCCATCCAGACGTCAAGTTAAAGGAAGTGCTAAAATCTCCATCGATACTTTAGAAATTTTTCGCTTCCATTTTCAGAAGGTAGTAAGCACCAGTTTTATTGTATGTTTCGTAGACAGTTTACGCTGGCACAGGTGATTGTGTGTGTTCCAGGTTTGATGCTATAACATTGTCTATCCTCGGCGTTCATTTGGAAGTTAGTGCTAACGTTTTGTCAGTGAAATTGAATGCACGTGGAACTAAGATAAAGGCCAATTATGCTATAGAGTGGTCATTTACCACTGACTAAATTTGCCTGGAATGCAAGAAGGTAAAGGTTAGGCCACAAAATGCCAGTAATTGTTATTGTAAAGAATTGCGGTGAAAAGATATGGCACTTTATAGCATGCCAATGTCATTAGATATTATCAACTGTAATTAATTAACTATTTAATACCATTTAATTTCCTGCTAGGGTACGTTAGCCATGATAATCATTTCAAACGAAGTATTTGCTCGAAAAAATTGTTTCAATTAAATCTGTTGCCATGAAAACATTATCAATTTTAAGAGTAATCACAATTTGTGTTCAATTCCCCACGTATATCGATCTCTTCTCTTCCACCAAATGATTTATTAACTGGTTTTTATTTAATAAGATGAAAATAAAAATTTTAAATCCATTCTACCCTATCTTTTTTCCCTTCATCAACTCAAATGACTTATAAGACATCGTCTCCGCAGGACTCATGTTCTAATGAAACGAAATTCCCACCTATCATTTAATTATTAATATCTTATTAAATACCTACATACAATTAGACATTAATTTTTGCCTCAATGGCACCCATTTTAATTAGATTTGTTTGGAAAAGGATTTCTTCCTACCTAAACGACACGTCGCCTTCCTTGATTCAATTTTCCCTTGTTTTGAAAACAGTGCAAATGGGTTTGAAAATTACCATGAACTGCCAGATTTAATTCTCCTTGCAATTAGGTTACTGTTCCAGTACATCCTAGTTGGTTACCTAAAGGGTAGAAGAATGGAGAGAGGGAGAGAGACGGCAAATGGGGAATCATAACAATAATTAATTATAGATATCCTGATTTTTTCCCTTCTAAGTTTTTCCAACGGACACATAACAAATAGAAAAGTTGTCGACAAGGTGTTTTTGTTGCTAAATTTAGAATTAACGCCCACCGGCTACAAGTTGCACTTTGCGCGTTGATATTGCAAATTAAAACAATTCTCATGAAATGATTTCACCTAACAAAATCCAAAAGAAGACTTGAGCTTGTATAAATTGAGTTATCTTTTCTCTGTCATATTTTTTGTGTGAGTTGTTTTAAATTAGCGGGCTACTCACAACGTGGGCGAGAATAGCAAATAAAACGTTAAATTGCGATTTTAATAAGTATGCTTCTTGATATCACACGGAAATGGAACAATCCAACGAATTAACTTTCTCCTTCTTATTATTGATGATTTTATCAATTTACTAAGTGAGATTTAAAAGGGCTTGTATCTGAGTTAGAATTTGAACAAAGGAAACCTTGTTATCCAAAAATAATGTTTACCAAGTGGAGGAGATGGTTCAATTGGTGGTGATGTGGTTTCTGTCAGTTCGCATTTATCGAGAGCTCAATTGAATCTGACTTTCTGAGACAGTTCTAAAAAACAATCATGAGTATTAGTTCTCGAAAGCAATAGTTCTTACTCATCTGTCCTTTCAAGTTAACTTTAGTTTCAAATTCGTGTGATTGAAGACTAATTCGTTCACACAATTGCAATCTTTGAAGTTAAATAGCTGTTGAAATTCTATCCAAGACTAATTTATGTCAACTTTTTTTAAATTAATATTCTTCCAATCCGACTTAACTTTTGAAATGTAATCAAAATGAATTTTAACCGAGTGTCACAGAATTTTTTAATCTTTAGATGATGATTTTCGTTTTTATATTACTTAATCTAAATCAATTCATTTGTATCACGCTTTTCATAATTATTTATTCGTTTATTAATTTGAGGACATGGAGGGATTTACGATAATTCAGGTTACCATCAATGGTGATTGCTGACTAAAGCACATTTTTAAGTAAATTGCTAAGAAACCGATGTTCAAATAATTAAATAAATGATGAGAAAGTTCTAAATCCTGCAGATTACATTAAAATATAATGAACTTGTTGCAAAAAAGAGTATTTTAAGCTTCATACCTTGGTAACGCAAATTAAACACCCTGCCTACATCTAGAATATTTCACCCGATGATGCTCATACCACCTGCTTTTCTCGAACCCTTCTAGCTCAAAATGGTAAAATTCTACAATTTTGTTGAGAAAATCCTGTAAGCTGATGAGCATCATGTAAGATCGCCAATTTGAGTAAAATACTGAACCGAAATGACGAAATCATCCAATGTGAATAAGGGACAAAGTGGAATGGAATTTGCGACAAATCAGAGAACGAAATGCGGTGTTGGAATTTTGAAATATGTACTGCTCAGTAAAGTAAATTTTGACTTCCCCAAAGTTGAAAAATGGGTTCATAGAAGAGTCACATGGCAATCAACGTCTCAACCCCCCCCCTCCCACCCATTATCATTATTTACGATTTTTTAATGACAACTCTCAGCTGCCTCGCACAATTAAAAACTGTGATTTTTTACTTATGTGATTAATAATAATAATAATAAGTGACTATCTAATAACACGCGGCATTATCATAATTGACGGGAAATTTGTACCTAGCAGGTGAGAGGAAGGTGAATATGTTCTTACTTTGCGCAGAATTACCGTTTACAATCAATCCGCGTGGATCACATTGATCGAGAGAATAGATTCTGATTTTGATTGGCATTAATTTGACAGCTCATAATTAAGAGAGTTTCCAATGGTAAAGATTGATATTGTTTGCAAAAATCGGCATCGATTTGCACGAATAACTGGGATTTTTGTAGTAATTAGCCTAGAATGATATTTCACATATCATCGGTTGAAAACTATATCTCTAATGAATCCATTTCGCATTCTGCTTATTAATTTTTCGTTTTTTCCGTTACATAAGGCTAAATGATATGATTTTTTCTTTCTTACAAAGTATGGAAAAAATTTCGATGTTGAATTGAAGGTGTTGAAATGGTTCACACTCAAAGTATGTTTTACTAACGTGAGTTCAGATAAGTTGAAAGCCATAATTCTCCACGTTTTACAGTCTCAAAATAGAGTAAGCTTTTAAGATTTTAGGCCAGATAGACCAGCATAGCCAAACACTGAACTCAGTAATCCAGGTAGCAGATAATTTCATTTGAATTTCATTGAATTTTTTATAACATTTCATTAAGGAATTCGCTCAAGTCGTGGTTTGACGAAATAATGGTAATACGAATCACCAATAATATAAGGCAGTTAATGTTCAAGTTCCACCACAAATGCATTGAGGAAGAGCGTGTTATCCAAAGATGTGAAGTCAGTAGGTGATTTCGTTATTAAGGCAAGAGATCTCACCAAAAATCATTAAAAAAATCCTGAAACAAACTGTCTTCTTTCAAACTGTATAGTTATTCCCTTTGTTTGTGTGAAATCATCTACCCATTCGGGCATCAGTTTCACTCATATGAAACACACACACCCGAATCTGATTGGCTTAGCTTTCGACCTAGATCAACGGCGTCCAAGCTAACTCTCGATTGGTCACCTAGGGTTCCAATCAGTTCACACCAATGAAGGCGCGCGGACAGGTGTGTGCGTGTATGTGTGTTCAGGTTAGCGCGTGCACACCTGACGTGTTCACCACCCCATTGCATTCTCTCTGCACAAAACCATCAATTCAATCAAATACCTAGCTAATCAGACAGCCGTGGCTTAATTATCTTTCGCAGTGATCTTATGAAAACAACTTGTCGGTGTGCCAGAACTATCCTGTGCGATCCTGCCTGATGGAAGCACTAAAAATTGATAATTGAGATTAGTATAATGATAGCGGATGACGTCCCCGAATCTCCCAAGCCTCAAACATCACTTTCGGATGTAACAGAAATCCAACATGAAGGAGGTAAAACGACACCGAATTCAATTATGGAATGTTCGCAGAATACTACAATCACTTCTGGGGGTAATGGACAAAAAATTCTAAAACTTATCCACCCTGAGAAAGATAAAACCGACGAAAATTCCTGTTTCATTCCCGTCAATGAAGTTGAGTTCGGTATGGTTTAATTTTAGATCATATCTTTTGAATTAAAACTTGGAATTTGCCCATTTTTCTATTGGTCTCAATAATGCGCCTTTTAACAGATTTTTAGCTTTTAATTCCTGTTGTCCATTTTCGAGGATATTGTTTGTTCTGTTTTGTCTTGGTGACATTAAATTGAAATAAATTTGAAGTAAACTCCAACATAATGATGACCATTTGATCTGATTTAGGGCACTTTCCAATTAACTTATGTCCTTAAATGCCCTAACTTGACCTCAAACGAGAGTTGACCTTGGTAAGTGTTATTGATTTACAACTTAAATGGTTGTGCTAGTTGTAGAATATTCTTAGGGATTTATCTCGTTTGATTCGGGGGTGTGCGATAGACTTACCTCCACGTGGTGCACCCTGGGCAACGTATATTCATACAGCAAAAAAGTTTTTTAACTGGCAGTTAACTTCTCACTCCAAACTACCATCACCTCATTCTATGCCATATTCGAATACCTTCACAGTATTCACCTCACCTTTTTCTACTTTGAAACACTCTTCTGTTCCAACCCCCCCCCCCTCTCGACTTTTTTCAATTTGATGTTCCTTCCCCTCTGTGAAGCCTGAAGTCAACCAAAGGGCTATCGATAACCATCAAGACGCCTGCCATTTGATAAATAAGTAAATCTCATTTGATTCAAGTTTTATTATTTGCTAGGCAAACAAAACTTATCTG